AAAATATTTTTAAACCTTAGTCACTTTATGTTTTCGGCCTCCACGGCCTCTTGCAGCACTCTCCCATTTTTGGCTGGCAGAGTCCTGCAAGAGGCTGGGGAGCTGAAAATGGGCCATGGGGGCTGGTTCTTTGATATTTCCAGGCCAGCCTGGTAGGCCAGATTTAAGCACCCTACAGGTCAGATCTGGCCCACAGGCCTTGAGTTTGACACCCCTGCAATAGACTAAGGTTTAAAAATATTTTTTAGGCCAAAAATTTGAAGGACCATCTTTTCTCGGTTATATCTACCTGACCCACAAAAGCAGGGAGGGAAGGAATGTGGCACATCCCCTTTCTTAAGGTGGGACCATCTGGTGGGACCCAGTAGAAGGGCCTTCTCTATGGTGGCTCCCCTCTTTGGTACATCATTCCTGTGGAGATTAGATTGGCCCTCACTTCGACATTCTTTCACAAGGCCCTGAAGACCTAGTTTTGCAAAAAGGCCTGGGAAACACAGTGTGATGGAACCCATCAAGTGTTGCCAAGGGTTATTGTTTTTGTTTGTTTGTATATTAGGTTTTTATTTTTGTAAGCCAGCCAGAATCACTGGGAGTGAGTGGGCGGCCATACAAATGGTCTTAAATATTTAAATAAAATTTTCCTCGGCCTTTGATTGGCTGGCTAAAAGTAGCCATTAGCCAAAGAGTGAGTAAAAAGGAGAAGAAGGGATATTAAATAATATTTAATTAAGTTTAATATCTTCAATAAAAGTTAACACTTAATCCAAGAAAGGAGAATTAAAGAATTCTGAGTAACAGCAACTATAAGAAAGTAGATAAATATTATAATACAAGATTTCTAGCTAGTTTTCTACTTTCAAATCAGACATCTAATTTATATCATGGCAGCAAAACTTCCCACTTTTTCAATTCTTTTCCAAAGATCAGATATCTGTTATTTGTATGCAAAAAACAATTTGTTAACTGTTAGTATTACACTCTCTATATTTAATAATTTCCCCTTTCCCATTAAAAATCACAATTTGGTGGCAACTTCTGTCAAGCCTGCAGAAACCACACCCAAAATCTTGAAGAAGTGCAGCCCAATACAATAGAAATTATTTTCCCTGTAACACCTCTTCTAGGAAAGGTTCTATAAAACAAAACAAATATGCATATTTCATAAGACTGCATGAAAGTAAATTCCACTGAACAGACAGCTATGTGCTGAATGTCATCAAAATTGATCCTCCATCTTCAAGCAGTGAGAATTAGATCACATTACCAATGCAGAGAACAAGGAAATACATCATGTGGCCATATAATAACTCCTGGATCACCAAATATAATGCGACTCGATGAGTTAAGAGTACCGCAAATATGTAGGCATCTTTCACAAATATTTGAACAAGGCAATATTCAGAGATTACGCAAACCAAATAGAAAGTCAATTATAAGTAGCAACACACTCATATACTATTTATATATACTCTAGGTAGCTATAAATATTGCACTTGCCTGTCTAATAATCTAAACTACTTAAGATAAGCAAGCATTGTAATGTGATAAACTAAATAAAGGAGAAACAAGCGCCTATAATGCTGCTTTAAGAGGATGTTGATCATTTGTCATATCGCCCCCATATTCTCAAATTTGCAGCATGCACCTTGTTACTGCTATTGCTATTGCTATTATCTCCCTGACAGTCTAAAAGGAACTAAAGCAGCAATGAGTCAAGGAAGCAATGTGTACAATGTATAAGGAGGTTGCTTGAAGATTTGAATAGCTCCACCTCTTTTCCTCAGAACTGGAGGAAGAACTCAGCACCTACTCCCAATCAACATACAAGGATGTGTCCCTCGGGATACCTAACTGGCTGAGCTGGTTTTGAATCCTTCCCCCATCCTCTGTGACTCATGCAGGATTGTGGATTCCTGTCAAACAAGACAGGCCTATTTGCAATGGAAAACTACCTCTTCACTCAAACTCTTAAATGGGAAAACACCCATATCACCTTTTCATAAAAGGAGGCAGAAGAGAAATACTGAAGCTATCCAGTGCTAATCCAGCTTTCTCCTACAACCAAATATATTACTCTCCTGAAGTATTTCAACAATGCATGTTGGAAAGAGGAGGTTCAGGCAATACTTAGCTAAACATGGCTTCATTGAATTCTTTTTTTATATATATATTCCGGGTACCCAAGGACATAAACATACAATATAAGAGATTCTTACCTGTGCAAAGTTCAATGCAAATAGGATTGGCNCTTACTGATTGAGGAATGATGAAATGTTTGTTTTAAAAGAAATAAAACTGTTATAAGAGCACTAGGTTACATAAAATTCTAAATTGTTTTTTTATTGCCGATTTTATTTCTTAATGTTTTTATGCTTTTATTTTTTATCAATGAGCTATCATGGAGGGTACTTCCTTGAAGAGCTACAGTGAAATATTTGTAGTTAAATTAAGTGAACTTATTAAATATTACTATCTCTGAATAATAGTATGTTGGCATATTTTAAAGCCATCTTCCTCTTTGGTTTGGTTTGCATTCTTTGTTTAAAATGATGTTTGGGAAGAAGAAATAATCTTCCACATTTTAGAAGCACATTCTCAATTTTATTATAAAACCCACTGACCAATGTCTAAATTAGTAATCCTAATGTGGAAGGACACTATTTCTAAATTGGCAAAACATGAGGAATGCTAACTTGTTAATTTGACTTACAAATTAAAAGTCTGTTCATAAAATTTTTTAGTTGAAAAATGTGCTATCAGATTCCTGGTTAAACACAGCTGTCTTCCTCCTAGTTATATAATGGTGTATCAGAATTGACTTACGGGTTTCTGCAGAAAAAACATGGTTACAGCTCCAAAAAAGGGTATATCTGTCAGAAGTGGCTCCAGAATTACTCGTAACGTTCCATACAACTGCAAAAAATAAATTTTAATTTTTTTAAAAATGAAGGAAATAATATTGATTTTGTTTTCCGGGAAGGAAAAAAAATTAGGAAATATCTAAAAATGTTTCATAAAATTGTTCTGTACCTACCTGTAGTCCTTTCACTCCTACTTTAATCTTGGAGAGCTCCATGTGAATTTCACAATCCCCTATATAACTGAGAAGGTGTTACAATTAGCAGGGTATTAATTACGAAAAAAAACAAAGTAAAAGACAAAATGATCAGTCTTTTCTTAATATTTTAAAGGAATTTCTTATATTGAATAGAATAAGATGAAGAACAAAACTCTGATTAAAAAGATATAAGAGTATCTGTGAATATATTTTTAGACCAGAGATATTTTACTATAATAACATCACATTTGTTTCAAGAAACAGACAACTTATTATAGTACTTTACTTTCTTATGCTGCTAATATTTTTCTGCTACATATAAATACCATAACATTTATTTATTTATATATTTAGGCATCTCAAGCAATATATTTGCCAGATTAAGCCTATTTCTTTATCACTATATAACTTTCAGGAAATCTGGTAGATTTAATCAGTGTGTGTATGTATGTATGTATTTGTATATACAGTACATATACATGCATGCACAAATATATACACACATACACCAAGAATTATGGTGAAAAAAAATCCCCTCTTTGGTTGCCTTTTTACTAAACAATAAGACGCCATCCATTATTTTTACTTTTTCCTCCCACAAAAGTCCATTAAGGAAAAAGCGATGGAATAACTGCACAGAATCTACTAATTGTAATAATCAGAAAGCACCCTAGATGTTCAAAGAAAGGTGATGACCCATTCAGATTAAAGTATTACTCTGAAATAAGATTAACATTGCTTAATAATAGGGCTCCAATGAAATTCTTCAAATTATAGCTCCTATTCCTGCTACTTAGCCTCTCAATAAATTTTGCAGAGAATTTGTAACTGGAATAACAGTTCACACATAAAATATTTAAGAAGGGTCACTCACTGGTTAAACAAAGTTTCAAATCTTTAAACTGTTTTAACATTAAGTAGGAATGCACATGAGTTTATATTGATTACTTCAACTGATTGCAGACAAATAAGATTTATAAGTAAGTGTTGACCAATAAGATTGTTGCTGCTTGAAGGCAACAAAACTAATTTACTTGGACAGCAAGGTAGGTGGCATAATCAATCAATCAATCAATCAATCAATCAATCAATCACAAGTATGTTTTTCTTACAAATTCCATGTTGCAAAAGCCCCAACTGTAGTAAGCTTTCACACACAACAGTTCTTTTGTGGAAATACAAGATAACTATCAAGGGTGAACTTTTAAATTTGTGTTATAGGACCATTTGGGAATAAAAAAAAACAAATTATAATAAATATAACATTGTCTTATAGTCAATCCCGTAAATTTCTTTTGGATTTTAAATTTTCTAATGGAACAGACTGTCCAATTGAATGATTCAAAATAGTTTGGCCAATAATGTGGCTCAAACAAGCAGTTTTCTACCTCCAATTCTTTGCCTGTTCCCTTGAAAATTTTTAATCTAACTACTGAGGTATTTACGATCAAATCAAATTTTATTTTCAGTCTTTGCTAATAACACACGGTCATGTCAGAATGAAATATGGAAAGCATTTGCAAAATAGAAGCTAGGTCAAGTTTAGTTGACCTCATATGTCACAAAAACTTAGAACTGTTTATGCATTTCCTGTGTAATCCTTGTCAAAAGGTTTGACAGAGATGACACGTTCTGCTGTCAAACTGTTTTGCATTAATCTGATGATAGCATGCTTATTCAACTCTTGTAGCCTTCTAGTGTGTAAAAAGCTCTACTTAAGACCATATTGTTGTCTAAGGCAGTAAGAGGTAATAATTTCTTTTAGCACACCATCCAAAGTGTATTTGCAATAAAATTTATTTTGGTGATCAGTGTGTCCATTAGCAAAATCTAATTTTGTTTTCTCTTTTGACTGAAACTATATGATTATTTAAAAAAAATGTTTTTCTAACCAAAGAAAGCAGATGCAAATGAACACAATAATTGTTGAGTTCTTGGTGCTCTCTGGACTTGGTTGTTTGCTTGGAGACATTACTCAACTATGGTAAGTAATATCATCAGTGCTAGTGAGTGTCGGATTTGTTCTATGTTTATGTAAAGTAGGTTGCCCTGCCAGTTTTGATGGGGATATGGTTTTCTCCTTGGTAGTTCCTTGATTAAGGTAATATTTACTGCTTAAGTGTTTGTCTGGTGTTAATCCCAGAGTTTTGACCACACAATTTTCAACTATCTTTTCCTATATGTAGAATGAGGCAGAAAGCCAGCATCTTCTGCCTTACTTTCAAAATTTGTAAGTCAAAAGACCCCAAATAGGGGAATACATGGAGGATGGAAATTGTCAGGAATTTCTATCGATATTATCAAGTCTGCCCATAGGAGACAAGGTAACTAACATAGGTGGTTCTGGGAGTTGAAGTCCATATATCTGGAATAACCCAGATTGCTTTGCTAGCTCAAAAATACCTTCCCCCAAGTTTATGTCTACAATGGTCTCACTGGACCAAACGTTTTGCCAATGCTGAGCAGAAGTAGCTCAAATTATGATGCAGTTTATCCATTATATCAGGTGAAGTTTCTTTAAGCATGGTTATAAAAGGATGTAAATTGGCAGGTTTATACAACATGCTAAACTAAACTATGCAAACTGCATTTATGTTTGCTGAGCAATGTCGTGCTGTCTGACAATCTGAAAACCGAAGTCCATACACTTAGAAACATCCAGCTTGGGGAAGGCTATGTGCCTCATTTCATTTCAAAATGTGGCAAGTCATGGATTTTTACAAGGAAGACTTTCCCCTCTTACACTTTTTAATGACTTCTGGACAGGGCCGGATTTAGATGAAAAGAGGCCCTAAGCTATTCCACTTATGAGGCCCCTTAACCTCCCATTTTTAAGTTTGTAAATTACATGAGAGACAATAAAATACATCATTACTGTGATATATATCAATATATATCAATATATATAGCTGGCCTCCCGACGGAGGNTCACAATTGTTGGGATAAGATCAGAAGATTCAGAAAAATGATTTTCAAAACACACATTTGGCAATACTGCTTTAATTTACGCTGTGTATTAGATTCCCTCATGATTTCCCAGGAATGCATAAAATTTCCCAAACTATTGAATAATTTTCATCCTAGGCATGGTCTCTCTCTTTCTCTCTATTCTTGCTACTGCTATGAACTCCTAACATAACATTAGACAGAGTAGTTCAATATTTCACTTTTCTTCCACATCTAATATGCAAATCTTACTACTTGGACATGGGAGCATTTCATTCTATATGTCCTGCCAGATTAAAGTCTGGTGCTGATGACAACTCTTCCAGTCAGTTTACTGCAGTTTGATTGACTAACACTGAAGGTATTGTAGATTTGGGCTGGCAAGGAAGATTCAGATAATTACAGGATAATGGTCATTTTTATCAAGATCTGCCTAATACTGGAAAATAAAAATATTTGGAAAAAAAAAGATCTGCCTAAGAGCTGAACATATATGATGACATAAATGCTATGGCTACTTAGTTTTGATAACAAAGATTGCTGCACAATTTGTTTTGGAGAGATCTCTGCAAAGGCAGATGGTAATGTTTTTTTACTTCAGTGGAAGAGAATTTTGATCAAACAAACTTCAGGGCAAACCCTGAATTTGATACAAATGTTACCCAACTTATCCCAGCCACTTAACTAGAGCAAACAAGCTTATTCGCAGTTGATTCAACAGTCAAGTTACAAAGCAAACTTTGAAGCAGAAACATTCCAATCTTACGTTTCTCAGATAAAAGCTCCTTTCATATCCAATGCCTTACCTTGTTCAGCCATTCTACCCGTTCAACATCTGGGAAGTGCACCTGCAAAGCAAGGCAAAGAAGAAGCAGGTGAAAACTGACTGGACTATGAGAATTAATATGCAAGATGCAAATAAAGTGACAGGACTAACAAAGGACTATTATAAAGCATGATTCTATAGCAATATCAAAAATATCCCTACAAAATATATTTCNTTTTACATATTTGACAAACTAAATAAATAAAATAAATATATCATGCCCTTTCCCAATGATAAACTATAGGAAACAATGCAGTTCTATACTACCATATTTGCACGTCCAGGATTATTTGTCTTCGATCAACTTCTTTGGTATAGGTTTTCACTCCTTTAATTTTAGGGCACTGAAAGAAACACATGCAGCAGTATTATTAATACAGCAATGAGAAAGCCTCATTTACCTTACTTAGCACAAAGATAACAACAGCCAAACATCAAGCTAGATCCATCATAATAAAAAAAATCTGCAGAAAGAAAACAAAATAATTACAGAATCTTTCTCTCCTGCCCGTTGTTTTCTTTTCTTTCTGCAGAATAAAATACAGAATATTTTCTAATCTGCTACCCCTCAGAGTTCTGCAACTAAACCTGATATTATTTCCGGTCACCAGGGAGTTGAAAGATTTTTCTTCAACACATCTAGGAGGCATTATTTGGGGAAAAGCTGTACTGCAGCCATTAAGTTTGTATTTTAAAATTCAGCCAGCTAAAAATGTTAGCTGTTGAATCCAACACAAGGAAGGCATCCAAAATTTAAAAACTTACTAAGAAAACAGAAATTCAGTTGCCAATTTAAGGTTACTGAACAAAATTAAGTCCTTAATTAATTGAATTGACAATGCAAAGCATTTTCTTTCAATATTATTGCATGCATTTTTTAAAATACCCAACAAAGGATCTTTACTCTTTTTATATTAATAAAATCAGGAACTAAGTGAATAATGAATGGAAAGAGGATTTTTCGTTACCATTGATAACCCCTATAAATTGAGACTACTTAACAATTACATATTTAGAACAGGGTGGGAAAAAACATCATAAGATTAGTTCTAACTTCTGGCAGGAGTTACATTTTAAAGCTGCAACATCTTTTTGTTCTCTTTTTATGCTAAAATCTTGAGGAAGGTTCATGTATAATCTGAAAGATTCTGAAAACAAATACCTATTTTGAATAAAATGGATAGAAGTTCACAATCCTTTTGCGCAGATATCTACTCTATGTTACCCTACCTAGACTTTTATATTTTAGTCGAGTAGTGTAACTTAAGAAACGGATTTGAACAAGGACATTATATTACAGCTATAATTAATAAAGTGAATATCAAAAATCATTGTATCACAAATAATCAGAAATTAAAATAAATGGATCCAGATATATCTTAAGCCTATGTAGACACAGAAAATACACTTATGAAAAACAAGTCTGGAAATGGCTGTCATTTTCAAAGACATCACCTTACCTTATCTCCAAGATGGATTCTAGTAAATGTACATGTTTTCAGATGTACATTCTTTCCTCTGATTTTTGGTTCAAGGATTTCCTTAAATGTCTTTTCCATAATTGTTCCAAAATATGGCCAGAACTGTTCAACAATCTAGTCATAAAACAATAAAAGGCTAATGTCACCACTTGTATATTACCGTTGTTTACAGTGGTGGGTTTCTACCGGTTCGCATTAGTTCTTCAGAACAGTAGCTCTTCTGTCAAGCAGTGAACAAAGCAGTTCTCTGTTGCTTTGAAGGTGGGCCCGCCCAGCCATCCGACACTTGGTTATACCTACCTTTATTTTAGCTTCTCAAGTCCAGCTGATCAGGGGTGACCAATTGATCAGCCGCTCCTCAGCTGTTTTCCTTGCTTTCCGAGCAAGTTTCTTTTAAGTGTGCGCATCTGGCGCACACTCAGCAAACCGTTAGGAACGCCAGCAGGAACCCACCACTGGTTGTTTACCATTTTTATTTTGAAGACAGAATGCCAACTTTGTAAATGTCTTTATGTTTCTAAAGTGATAGAACATACACTTTTTAGATGAAAATGTGGTTAAATATTGTGGGGTTTCTGAATTCAAATTGATAGTCTTGGCATATTACACTGATTTAACTGTAGCTGAAAAAAAAGAAAATGTGCATAATTG